AACAGATCGAAAAGCTGACGTAAAAAAAAAATAAACGGCAGTTTTACTGATAAGAAGGCATAGGCGGTCCTATGCCTTCAGCTCTACCAGTAACTTGTAAACCGATGCCACCTCCATTGTCATTACCTAGATCGTTTCCATCTACAATCCCGTTTCGTGTCCTCCATCGACTCCACCAACATCGACGATGGCTACAAGGACTTGACCACCACCAGCTGTAACGGAACTGAGAACTGAGAAGTGTTGGTTTTTCTCCTTAGCAGTTCACGAAATAAATCTGTGGCTGATGAATACTCGTTGATATTGTTCATCCACCTACATGAGGACAAAGATGATGTTCTATAGAGACTGGGAGGAATCATATGGTATTTAGAACTGTATGGAGTGAAGTCGGTGGCAGTATCGAAGTTACAAGTGAGTATAAAGATAGATTCACACATGTATATATCTATATGTATATATCTAACTACCTCTTTATTCGTGTATCTATCTATCTTTCTATATATATAAATATATATTTGCACATATATATGTATATGCATATATACATACATATGTATATACACATACACATGTAAATATAAACACATCTATTTGTGTATATATAAATGTATATACATATATGAATATATATACGTATACACACACGCACACACATACATACATACATACATATATATATATATATATATATATATATATATATATATATATGTGTGTGTGTGTGTGTGTGTGTATGTGTGTGTGTTATGAAGTACGATTGCAGAAATAAAAATAATCTTTAAACTTACCTGGACCCTATTTTTTCTTATTTTAAAAAATGCATATTGCATTTACTTACAGACATTTTCATATAACGTGGACTGATGCCCTTTCTAGAACAACCTACAGCGTAACCAGCCCACAAATAACACAGTCATCTCCTATCAGTTTCATAGCTGTAAAATTATCATATAAATCATGGGGGATTATTTACTTTATACGTGGGATTAGAACTACTAGTAAACTTACTGGTTCATTTAGCAACAGTGACAAGATTTTATAATGCGTATATTCTAAATTTAAATAAATAATAAAACAAGTATCTTAATATGGCACCACTTGAATCGGAATTGTAACTAGGATGAGAAATGGTCTTTCCCTGTTTCCCTAAACAATGGGTACCAAAATTTTGATTGGCTGATCAATAAAGCATGTGAGAAAATTATATGAAAGAATTCAAACGGATGCATGATACAGTATACCTTCGAAAAATTTAGTTTGTGTAAGTAGTATTAAGTATAGTTTGATATCTTGACGAATTATGGAGTCGTGTAGAGACCAGATAGTCTGCTTCCTTCGTCTACAACGCCACTGGTAAATTTCTAGCTCCATTTACTTCACTTCCTGCTTGTCCCCCAGCGGCTTACCAATATCGCCAATGCCACCATGGACTTAGTCACCAGCAATTGCAGCAGAACTGAAAACAGTTTTAAGGTCTACTTCGAAAGGAAGTGTTGGGTTTTCTCCATCTTGGTAGTTGACGAAGTAAATTTCAGGATCAACTTGAGAGTGATCTGGTACTTCGATTGCTCGCTGAACTTGTTCATTAATCTTGTAGAGTACACAAAGTTGTTCTGTCTTGGCGGAGGAAGAACGATAAGGTTTGGTGCTGGTACTTCCTCTGAAAGACGTATGCAGAGAATATTGCATTTTACAACCGGAGGTGGAATACTTGGAGGTGAACCAACGGAATGTTAATGTTCAGGAATATCAAATAAATAAACATTTCTTGTGATTTCGGTGACTAAACAATTACCATCTCCATGCAGAATTTCACTCTCTTTGCAAGCAGTGATGGACCCTCGTCACTAATGAAGTCGTTTTCGTGTAAATTTGTCGCCTCTTGCAGGCTCTAGTCCTGGACCAGACGGACGAGTGTCCGCAACCTACTGGAGCCCCTGAATTATATCCTCCCGGAGCTGCATAAGCAGCCAGTACGAATGCTAACAACAGAACCTGTAGGAAGATAGAGATAATTATATGAAATCAAATTTCCTCCAAGTTATTTATAAAATGTAATTTTATATAAGTTCATGCCGTAATGTTTGTCCTCTGATAGATAGATGTGATTTCAACGTGCGATGAATTTCATGGTGAATAGCTGAAGGTGTACGAATTGACGCCTTTTATATTAATGTCCTTTGTAGAATGACCTCCAATGTAATCTGTCCACTATTCACATATTCACTACAAATTGGTAAATAGTTTTCTTTTATCTATTCCTTTCAACATATACCTGATCTTCTTATATAAGCGAATAAATACACTTAAGTGAAACAGTGTAAGTTGGAGACGAAATCACTTAATTTTATGCAAATGTTTAAAACAAATTACTCGAACGTTGATGCAAAGGAATATTTTCTACACTGCTTAGATGGATTTCCTCTTCACACACTGTCATAAAATTGTATAGTAATCGGGTTTTGCGCGAGCTCGAACACACACAATTAAAACACTCATACACACACAGAGACACGCACACAATACATTTGTGCATATTGTGTATGTATGTGTGTATACGTAAGGGCACGGAACGGAAATATGATTAATACAAAATTGTTATATATAATACATGGATATGTGAGTATGAGTGAAGGTCCTGATTTGAGTGACGAAATTGCTGTTTGAATTAATTAATATATGATAGCAAAATGTACTTACATTTTAAAGGGAAAACAAGAATGAAATTTGCTGTAATATTCTATAAGATATTAGTGAATGCAGCACACAGTTATAATATCAGTCATAGGAAGTTACTCTGATTACAAGGCTATGCTAGCAGATTACCGAGGGCGATCATGTATAACTAATATCAACTTTAGCAGATAAGGTATGAATGAGAATGAGTATCTTCACAATACAAGAGATGTATTTGACCGGTTTCGGATTATATCTTCGTCAGAAATACATACAACAGAGGAATTACAGAGCATATATATATCACACATGAGCTGACGAGCTTCAGCCCTAAAAAGCTGACACAGGCCGGGCCATAGCCTTCGCAAATCACAATCGCATCACTGACGAGCTACCTGACCGTGACCTCCCGCTCGTTGACCGTATGATTGCTGCCGCGACCTTGGATAATTTGAATCTGCCCGAAGCTGCATTGATGTTATTTTCCGTCGCGATGTAGGCAGCTTCCATGATTTTTCTTTGCTGCTTGTTCAGTCCTCCATGGACTGTTATTGCTTCTTTCCAATTAGGTAGATGTCCAGCTTCATCTACATGGACCACCATGGCGTTTAGTCATGTGAAATATTCATAGCTGAATAAATCAATCAACAAAGGGAAGAGTAGGAAAACGCAAGACACCGAATCTTAATGAAGACGAGCTTAATGAAGGTGTCAGGTAACATTATGATTGGGCGAGATACGACTTTGGATATTTTGTGACTACCGTTCTTGGTTGACTGAATTGAAGTCACCTGAACTTTTTTTTTCTTTTTTTGTGGGGCCAGAGTTTTCTTGCTGGCAGAGGCTTGGGACCAGTTGGTGTATGCAACGAACGGGCTCCTCTTGTTATGGAGCTGGAGGGCAATACATTCATGGGTTCTACGCCGTGCTTGCAAGGAAACCTATACACAGTGGTCTGATACCTTTCCCCTGACGATGATCTTCCATGATAAAGTCGTGATCTGAATGGTATGGATCATCAAGGCCTTCTGATGCTATGTCGTTTCCGAGTGTTGAATGTGAGTAATCATTCTGATATAGATTTACCTCTTCCAAAAGGAATTCCCTCCATCAAAGAGGAGCTGTTATCTTTGTATCTTGTCTTTCCTACGTTCATGTTGCGCTTTCCTGGACGTATGACACCTCCATAAAACAAAAATTTCTATCATTGTTGCTAATTAATAGTCCAACCAACACAGTACGTTTCTCTTTGACTCATTCACCCCTACCATCTTTTGTAAGGTTAGCCCTCACTGCTGCAATCTTGCCCTAAAAGCCTTCTTCTTGTTTCTAAAATGAGCACCTATGCCATTCCTTGCTTTTCTTGCAATAAACGTTACTTTGATGAGAATGATGTCAATCTCGCCAAGTATGTCTCTCATAATAGGAAACATTAAACGAACTTTTCGTTTTAACAAAGAAATGGTATTCTATAAGGAAACCGGATTGTAATTTCCGGCCGCTGATACCCATGCCCATACATTAGTGTAATATTCTTATGTAAACAAACTGCCCCACTTAAAGTGAGGGCTTTACACATACTAAGTTTGTTATCCCCGTCAAGAAACCTATTGATTGAAACCTATTGATTCTTTTCACCCTATCATCAACACAGCAGACATGTTTCTCAAGTTCTTAGACTCTGTTACCATATGTAAGCAACACCACATATACCACTGGCCGCCCGGGTGGCTAGTTCCCCCCTTTCTTATACTGTTTTACTTTCTCTCCACTTTTTAGACCAAAATAAGGGTAGGAGGATTTCTCT